CTAACTTTTTTACTACAGTAAAAATCTCTCACATAAAGTCACATCTCAATTCATTACTTTTTTAATTTAATTTAACTTTTAAAAAGTTTAATATAGACGGGTGACAATTTACATACAAATCTTAGGTCCATCACGTGGGGTATATTATTGTTTTCCTTCTAGTAATTACATATACTAAGAGTTTATTTAGAGCCCGTTTGGTTAGAGGATTCGTTCTCTGATTTAAATCATGGTTCATGATTTGTTACAGTATTTTCTCTCATAAAAAACACACGTAAATAAAAAATTGTTCTAATCTCATAGTTTTAATCCATAAACCAAACGGGCTGTTAGTTCGTTAATTTGAATTAAAATGTGATTTTATATAAGAGTTTTTTACTGTAACAAAAAAGTTAAATGTGATTATTTTTTAGAGTTTTATACTATAATAAAACTCGAATCGGTAAAATGAACGAAGCCTAAAACCATCATTAGCTTCAAAGAGCTAAAATCTTAAGACTCATTTAAAAGATATACTTAAATCATGATTCTTGATTCTAATATTTAAAATTTAAATTTTTTATGTGAGAAAAATTATATAACAGAATCAATCATTTTAAATTTGAGTATATGAAATAAATGATTCCTTATTCAAGTTTCTAATCTTTGTATTATTCAGACAAAAATGTCATATATATATATATATATATACTTACAATTATTCATCTCCACAGAGGAGTGAAGAAATAGCAAAGACTGGGACGAAGCTGCGTCAATGGGATTTCTCCCATCCACTTGTTCTTTCTTCACCTCCTCGTTGGCTGACTCACTGGGTATGAACATAATTTCCCCAGAAACAGATGGAACTGAAGGCAAAAAGAATGGAGCCTTTTCAGGTTCCTTTGGTGGTTCAATTGGTTTATTCCTGACCTGGAAGTTGGAGAACAAGACAAAGAAACAAACACATTTTTAACTGGTAAATCACTGGCCAAATCCACAGGGGAAGATAGAGTGAAACATGTCACAGGAAACACCTTTATAATGTCTAAATTGATCAAGCTCTGCCACTGGCTTGTTGGCAATAAAGAGAGAGTAACTAGATCCGGGATTTGCTGATCGAGAACCTTGAAATCAACAGACAGAGCCTTTAGATTGTAGGATATTCTCCTTAGCCTCATCGGCATCCTGATCGGCTTGACAATAAAGCACAGGTACGTGGGTTTATGAAATGCGAATATGCATTACGTTTGTTCGTTGCCAATAATAATTCATAAACACGACCATGGTTCGATCTTCAATGACAAGCTCGCAGCTCACAGTCACAGACCCCATTTCCATTGGAGACGCACAATTTCTTTCACTCTCACTGTTACGACTGTTTAGTGGGCCCTGCCCTCTCTAATTTCTTTATAAAAATTATAGAGTTTTTACCTTATGCTCTCCTTTTTTATTAAGATTATTATTTAATTGAACAAATTATTAATTAAGAATAAAGAGTAAAAATTTAAACTCATACACTCTAAGGAGTATTTGTCTCCTTTCTTAAAATTATAAGGAGTATCATAATTTTAGTTTTCATTCTTTCTAAAAGAAATAACGTATTTATTTAAATTAGTGGCAAATATACTTTGTTTTATCCATGTGGTGTTCCATTTTTACTACTATTAATATTTTTTCAACCTTTTGATACATTTTTGCCATTAATTTTAAAATTTTAACCATGTAATAAATTCAAATTTACATACAAACAAATATTCACTAACTTTTAAGCAATTTTTACCATAAGCTATTACCTCTTCTCCCATTTATCTTTTATGTGCAAAATAGGAAAAATATTTAAAAGTATTGTTGTCTTCTCAATTTACTGGTGGGATATTAAGTGTTTAATGGATTAGTTCCCTTTCTCCGTTCATTATTCCAAGAGTTTAGTAAAACTTAAACTAATTAATAAAAAAAAAATCTAAAAATACAATATCAAATGTATTACCTACTAAACTCTTTCTAAAGTTGTACTTGTTTCTAATAATTTTTATTAAATACAATCAATAAGTGAATTTATATATGCCTCAATGAGTCAGTTGTTAGTGGTGAAGCCTATGTAAAACCTTAGGAGCAAGCAATGCTTGTAATAAAAATTTATGACAAGGATAGAGAAATAAATCGTAAGGGAGAAAAGGACATAAATGGTAGTTTTACTTCTGAAACGAAAAAGGAAAAAAAAAAAAAAAAGGAAAGGAGAGAGAGAGAGAGAGAATAACTTATATTAAGCTAACATACATTTAAAAAATATCTTTAAATAGAGTGAGCATTTTTTTTTTTTTTAAAGGCGGAAAAAAAAAAAAAACACATCAGTGTTAAGGCCAAGAATATATGGTTTTCATTGAGGGCGAGAAGAATAAATAAAGCATGATAATAATCGTACACGCAAACTTCCAAACTTATTCAACGACTTGTCTGTTTTCAAATTGGTTACTTGGCTCTACAAAATGGTAGATGTATGATATTGGTTACAATAAGATGGAGAAAGAATAAGTACTATGATTGTAGATCTTGAGGGAAAAAGTTATTGAAGAGACATGTATTGGCTTATCACTCATTGGGCCTGAGCCTGTAATACCCGACAGCGGTACTCTCCCAAGGCCCAGATTGGGAATATGTTTCTGTAAGCTGCATACGTGATCATACAGTTCTTATTGAATACACCCATGATTTCCTGCCATTTTAAAGTAACACAGAGAAAATATTAAACATCCCATCACAATTTTTAAGCTGCAATAACATATGTATATATATACCAACCACTTAAAGTGGATACTATGAACGAATTACCTGTTGAGGATAATCACCATTTTCCATTTGAGAATTTATCAAACACCGGGCTGCTCGGTGCAACGGCGTCGGATCTCTCTTGGCCTGCCATACATGCGAAAAGTGACTCTTATTCACCGTGTTTACCAGTGCATGACTATCCTAACCAACATCAGCTGGATTGGAAACAATTTATACATTGAAAGATTGAAAAGAAAAACAAAAGAAAACATCTTTTAGAAAGATTTAGGGCTTGTTCTTTTGAGTGAAAAACTCAAAAAAATGTAACTCGAGTTACAACTTTATTCGAGTTCATGTTCTTTTAAGTTTAAACTCGAGTTTAAATTCGAGTTCAAACTCGAGTTTAGAACTAAAACTCGAGTTCAAGTTTCCCCTTCAACTCGAGTTCAGAAACTCGAACTCAAATTAATGAACAGTATTTTTTCTATTCTTAAAAATACTATAACTTTTTCATTTTAATTCTGATTGAGATGATTTTTTTTTTCTATGCGTTGACAACGAAAAGACGAATAAAACACGACCCATATACCTTATTAAAATTTTTCATTAGCATTGAATTTTTATTAAAATACTATCTAAATACAAATTTAAGTTTTGACTCATTCAAACACAAACTCAAAAAGATTCTTATCTCAAACCATAACTCAAATGTACACAACCAAACACAAATTCAAGTTACAAGTTCAACTCAAGTTATAACTCAAATTCAACTCAAGAATTATATTCAAGTTAAACTCCAAAAGAACAAGCCCTTAGAATCCCTCTCCTGAAATATACTAAAACTCGAGGATAATGAGAAGGTAGATTCAAAGTTGCCGTGGCAAACCACATGCCATGCATCAAACAAGTTACATCAATATCGAGACGTATAATTTATTGGAATTTTGTGTACCTGCCCAGCATCAATAAGAGCCAATACAGCCCATCCAGTATTGACCACATGAGACCTATTGCCTTCAAGATTAGAGTAGACCTGTACGGAGAAGGACCTGATATGTATTTCAAAATATACTTTGACAAAGGGGCACCAATGGTTTGACATAATCTTTCAGGAACGGATAATCACATATCTCTGTTATTAGAAAATAATGACCACAATAGTAATCACATTATGCACTTTCTAGCTAAAAAAAAAAAAAAGGTGCAGGGAAAAAAATAATAAAAAAAGGATCAGAAACTACTTCAGTTAAATTGCAGCCATGTACAAAATTTAATTAGAAAGAAACATGTTAACATTAACAACAAGGTCAACCTTGTTTTGGCATGAAAGATAGCTCTCTCCCCAGCCACCAGAGGGAAGCTGTTTTGATAGCAGAAAGTTGCAAGCTTTACGGATGCTAGCGGAATTCTCATAGCTTTTTCCTGCAGCCACCAATCCTTTTATACCAAACCATGTACCATAAGTATAACAAACACCCCAAGAACCGTACCTGTTCAGCATATAAAACCGTGAAAAGAGAGAAGGCAAAAATGGACCAAACATTTTCCACTCAGTAAAGCACGCATGTTATGTGGCTGGCCAAGCACAGTTAGCTGATATATCAGGAGAAGAAAAGAGAGAGATAAACTAGACAGAAAGAAACTATTGGACAGAAATAATGGACTCATAAATGCAGGACAAACCATGAACCATCTGATCCCTGGATCTTTTCGATGAATGCAGTAGCTTTCTTGATACATTGTTCTATTTCTTCTCGCCTATGCTCGGGATATAATTTCTTAAATGATGCCAGAGCTTGAATGGAAGCAGAGGTGCACTCGACATATCTAGAAAAAACACCACAGTTAGTAAAAATGGTAAACGTGAGAGAGAGAGAGAGAGAATGAAATAGCTAAAGGTTTTGGTATCTTACGGATAATCAATGACAATGTCACCAAAAGTTTCAGCAGGGTTGACCAACTGGAAATAAGAAAGAAAAATAAAATAGAATTATGCTTACATGATCTAAGTATGAAGTACTGATCAAAAGTGTAGATAATAAAATTAGATTGCACAGTTGGATGCAACAAGTGTCGTCCTACTTCAACTGCTCCACATTATGGTCTTCACCTTATACTTTTTAGCATTTACTGTGAAACCTACATTCTTGGTATTGACTATTGACAAAAACTTCAAACTTGCAATAAATGAATTCCCAAGATTATCCTATTAAATGACTCTTTCAGTAAATCAACTATTTTTGGGTACCATGATTGGCTTTTCATTATTGTGACATCATCTATCATACAATATGGTGAAGGGGACTGGAAAGGTGTCTTCTTGTTTACAAGGTTGGGGAGACACGTTGTCAAAAAGGACGATGAGCTTTACATAAAAGCATCACGATATCAGAATGAATTCTTAATCATCATGCAGATATTCAAGACAATATCTCTGAGTGACAACATAACATAAAACTTTGGGCACTTAACAACAATGAGAAAATATTTAGGAGACTACCTCCAACCACGCGTAGGATCTTGTGAGTTCGTATGTTGCAAAGCCACCATCTCCATTCTGCAAAGTATTCAATAGTAAGAATAAAAATAAGGAAAAAAAAAAAAAAAAACAAGAAACAGAAAAGAACAAGAGCCCACAAGAATCTTCTTTTCAAAATTACACGGTAAACTCTAATAATAGAAAGCAATCACGAGGCCAGAAAAAAGATGCAGAGAATTGGCATTTTAGCTACTTGCAGACACAGGGTTTCAAAAGACGAAACAACTTTAACTCATCCCACCAAATTCTACATGCACTCTCAGACTCCCAGTTCAAGAGAAATAGTTAACAAAGTGATTACTGTTTGAAACAATTGGGATAAGAAATAAAATCTAACAAAGCTAATATCAATAAAGGTCTAAGAATTTTGTATGCATTGGCAATATCTTGACACAGCCCACCTGTAATGAGAGAACAACATTGACAGCATCATACAACTGCTTTGACTCTATCGGTTCACCAACAATATCTGATGGAAGTTTTGATAATATGAGAACAGCCTGAGAAGATAAATAACGTAGATTACAAACCATTCAATGAATAAGTGGTGTACATTGAATGCCAGATACAATTACTTTTAATCCTTCTGATGCACAATCCGAGATGGGCCATCCGTGATCAGCTGTGGAGAAAGGCCAAGCACCCTTGGAAATATGGCGATACCAAAAGTCAAGATTGCCCGGGCAATCTTCTGAAACCTTAATAAAGGAAAGAAATTACATAAATATCTTTCTCTAGTCAACTAGGGAAAAGTGGGTGCAGCATCAACTTGAATTGATAAAGAAACTAACACCACAGAGAAATATACCTGTGAGTTCTTAATGAATGTATGTGCCTTTCTTAGAGTTGAACCATACTCGTTAATAAGGTTGGTTGAAATAATTGCTTGAACAGCAAAAGAAGCGTCCCATAACTGACTTCCATTATAACCCTGTAATAAAGTCATAATATCTCGAATAGTCAACAAAAATGAAAGTCAAAATATCACTTTGCTGAATGCCATTTAGGAATCCATTTAAGTTCAACATTGTCTCATACTAAGCCCATAAAGTGAATTTCTGCACATAAACTAAGCAATAAAATCTTCCAAAGCTCTTTCAAGTTCAAAGAAATTACAACTATACTCTACCCATTTCACGAAAAGCAATACTGGCATGTTAGTAATTATTGAACTAGAACAGCTACTGGCAAACTTTTCCTACAAAGTTGTTTTCATGGCTAAAAGTTATTTAAGATCAAAGGATGCATGGATGCATTCACGAAATGATGAAAAAGGAAATGTGTTAATAACTCAAAATAAAAGCAACCTGCATTTTCATGCCGTCTTCAGCAATCCACAGATAATCATAGATTCTTGGAATATGCAACTTGAAAGCCTCTGAATTAGGATCTTCGACCCAACAACAAAGCATATTTAACACCTGTAAGTAGCAATCATGATTTCAAACTCTCATTCCACACGGAAATAGTTACGAAACTTTGTGTGTGATTCAAATATTGTTTCTTCAAACAGTTATTCAATTACTTTATCAAACTTACACGCCTTAGCCAAAACACAAATACAAAAATAACTAAAAAAAAAAGACAAAAAGAAAAGAAAACAACACCAACAACACCAACAACACCTCTCCTTAACTTACGTTTAATCCAATAAAGAATACTATTAAGACACATCAAGTACCTTGTTAACAGGTCCAATGCAGATATAACGAGTATTCTCATCTTCATAGTGTATATGCTCCATTGCTGTACGGAGGGCCTTTTCTCTTAACTTTTTCCCTGGCCAACGCATTAAAATTGGTTCAACACCCCTATGAAGAGATGCCCAAAGGATATCTTGAATGAGGGGATGCGGGTAGTATAAATCCTCCTACAAAAGAAAAAAAGTTTTTGTTTGGTCAATAATTTGGTTCATTTGGAATTAAATTTGTAGTCTGCAGCTTCCATTTATTTTCCTGTCACTAGAACCTGAAAAATTTTCACTTTAGTAACCCATTTCAAGTGTTATTGTTATGGTTGCAAGCAAATAGCATTTCTTTATGGTTTATGATCACATTCAAGGTACTATCAAATAGAGATCTGAGCTTTGTTTTTATATTGCCACGGCCAAGTGTTTGTCATGCACAAAAATATAGATTAGAACATAATACTACATCCCTTTTTTTCTTATTTACTCTTTCACTAATGAAATACTAAATCCCTTGTTAGAAGATTAAATATGCTTGTGAAATAAATATCTAGTTGACCAACCTTTGCACATAGATTTCGCGCCTCATCCCAATTTATTTCATGATAGGGAACAGTGAAAAGCTCCTTCCTCAAAGACAAAACCGTTGGTGTGATAGGACCCACAAACCTCTTCCCATATAAGTAAGACATCGGTAAGTACACCATCCTGCAATGACACCACATTCTTCCTGCACAAACCGAATAAAATTACTTTTTCTTTCTGGCGGTGAAGTTGAGATATAAAAATTAATTCACAAACAGGAAAAAGAAAATTTTGTTACTGAATATTCTAACTGAAGCAATGCCAAATTGAACAACAAGCATATTAGATAAGATAAATGGACTTTAACTCCTCCTTGAAGGCACAAAATATATTGGGCTGTAAAGAAATAATGGATAAAAGGTTAAATGAGATTGCAACCAAGAAGAATTCATACACAAATTTTTAACACAGTTTACTCAACGCCGATAATAATCGAATTTTTCAGTAATAGACCTTAAAATGCAAGCTATATCAACATATCTAATTTTTGAAATTATATCCACCAGCGCGTCCATTTTTGGGATCAACAAGTATATTGTCATTAGTAGAAGAAGTTTGAAGAAGCCACGGAAAAGGTAACCAATACTTCTGTCATAGGAAGAGGAAAAAATAAAAACCTGGATGAACAGGGACGAAGTAAGGAAGAAGCCAAATCTCTGGAGGCAAGGGATTATTGCCAGACCATTCAAACACACCAAGAACCTATTACCATAATCATTGCAAATTAAACGGTAAAGCCAGAGCATACTTGGGATATTGAAAACACTGTTTACACTAAATAGCAAGCTAAATGTTAAAGCCAACAACAAAGTAAAGGTTAAGTTCGCAACTGATAACCACATTTTCCCCCACGATGTAATGGCAGTAGCACCACCATGGTCCAGAATCCACCTAACCCCTCTCTCCATTGCCCCTTGCCCATCATTAGCTTCTTCACCAAGCAATCTTAAAGTAACATAGCTCAGAACCGAACCAAACATGGTGCTTGGCCCTTCAATGTGCAAGCCCCAACCACCATCTTTATTCTGCAGTTACATAGTGTATTAACAGGATTTTAAGCCTTTGTACAATTCAATCTAGAAGGAGAAAAAAGGGTAAAAAAAAATCATAAAGAAAAACAAAAATGATGATAGTAATAGGGTCGTAGAAGGGCGTGAGAAACTGTAAAGGACCGAAGAAATTTATCCTTGCCTGATGATTGTAAAGGTAGCGACGTATCTCCTTTTTATGCTCTTCTGATAATACTGCATTCAGTGCCCCAGTGATAGACAAAGTAATTACCTGATTCATTGAAACAGTCAAAAAAACAAACAAAAAAAAAAAGAATAGCAGGAATTAGAAGAGAGAGCTCAAAACTGAAAATCTATTTGAGACAGCTAAATCCTAAGCATCCTTTTTGGCGTCAATTGATAAAGCCTATTTTGAACTGGCAAAAGATGTAATGGGCCAATTCTGTAATGAGTTCTGGTGACTTTTGGAAAATGCCCGAACCCTTCTTTATCACGAACCATTCAAATTCTCATGGAGCAAAAGAAAATGTAAATTTGGGTTTCAGCATAAGAAGAAAGATGTAGACATACCAAGCCAGGCATAAGAAACATGGGACCTCCATAGTCGCCAGGCCAATGGCCATCATGGGCTTGGAGAGTTGAATAGAAATTCAGAGCCCTCTTAAGCGTGTTAGTCACCGTCTCTTCTGTAACATCTTCTGTGTCTCTCACATTGACCTGGGGCAACAGTGGAGAGCATGGATTCTCCTTTGAAAGCTACATTTTAACAAGCAATAACACAAGTTAAGGCGAATCGAAAATCATTTGACTTTTGAGGCTAAAATTGAACTGAAGCAATTTAAAATCGAAATTCACCGTCTTCCTCTTGACCAAGTTACATCACTTGATCACTAAAAAACAAATATCCATTGAATTTAGCAAAAATGATTCTTGCCACGGATATTTAATGATCTAAGGAAAGAAATTTTATATGATTAAAAGATGAATTATTTCCCTACTAAACTTTGACTAAAAAGGTATTATATTGGAATCAAAGATTTTCATTCCACCTTTAAACTATGATTCACCTGCAAAACAATTTTTGTTTGGTTGTCCAGCAGAAGATGGGAAAAGATAAAATTTAGTCCCAGATTATTGTGACAAAAAAACTGGTCAACATACATTTCTTGATTATTGTAGCAAAAGAATTTCATACAGTTAAAGGTGAATATATTTTCCTTGATTAACAGGAAAATGGAAATAGAGAGAGACAGTGAGATAAATCGACAGATTTTGATAATCGAAACAAAAGAAATTTTACAATAAACGCATTGTCGTAAAATTTAAAATCACCTGGTAAAAATGTAAGGAAAACCACCGATCCTAAATCAAACTTGGACTAACAAGGAATCAATCTCTAATAGAAAGAAATTTCGTAATTAACGCATTGTCGTAAAATTTTATCTTCAATTCGAAAGTGAGTAAGTGTAACTACGAAGTAAATCGATCTGAAACCTGAATGCGCATGAGGAGATCGGAGCTATGCTTCGTTTGGAATCGAGTGGAGGAGAAAGTCTGACGAGCCTTTTCGATTTCGGCAAGTTCTTCGGGAGATCCGAGGTCTGGATCGAACTCCCAAATTTGGCGGCCGACATGGTTGTTGAGAGTGCGCAGCCATGGATTTCCTCCCTCCGCGATCTTCAGCTTCCACATTTCTTCAGATGACCAAACAGTCCAGACCACCAGAGTGTTTGGTTCTCGGGAATAAGATAGGAAAATCACTGTAGAAGAAAAAAAATAGCAAGAAAAATGTTTAATTTTGCTTCATTAGTCTAGCTCCGTTCACTTCGTTGATTTAAATTTAAAATTTAAATTAAAATATAATTTTATATGAGAATTTTTTACTATAATAAAAAAAATTAAATATAATTATTTATAAAAAATTTTTATTATAAAAAAATTTAATTCTAAACTTAAATAATAAAATAAACAGATTTTAAAATTTTAAAATGAATAAATAATAATAAAAAAATAAATAAGAGAGAAAATGAGAGGCGGAAGCTGGCAGAGACAAGGACAGGGCCAGCTGCAGATTCAGGTTCAGTATCTGCTGACTCACGTAAGAAGATCACCGTGGAGAAATGCATGATAATAGAAAAAGAGGAATATTAACGCAACTCTTTTCTTTCAACACGTGAATTCCATTAAAAGTAATAAATAGAAGCCTCGTTCACTTTGTGAATATGAGTTTTTAATTTAAGTTGAAATGTGATATTTTTTAAGAATTTTTTATTATAGCAGAAAAAGTTAGATGTTATATTTTCTGAGAGTTTTTTACTCTAAAAATTTAAAACTGAAAATTCAAATCGGTGAAATGAACAAGCCTCAATGATAAAAAATAACGCTAACATTTTTTATAATAATATATTTCACTCCAACATCTCTACCTATGTTTCTAAAGATTTTTTTTATTGTGAAATCGTACAAATATTTTTATTTCAATATTTGGCTGGCTCCCATCGCGATGGAGGTCACAATTTATTTGCGACCCATTGCGACTTAGGTCGTGACTCTCGTGAGGAAGGTTGAGGTTGCGACTCGCGACGGAGGTCAGAGCCCATTGCGATTCCAACACGAGATCATGTCCTCGTGTCGAGGTCACAATTCCGTCACGAGATTATGTCCTCGCCGATGTTTTTTAATAGTGCTTTTCAATTCTTATTATTAATTAGATTAAATTATGTTTCCATGGAAATGCAATCTAGAGCAGCAGATTGAATCAATCGAACGGTTTTAAAGAATATTCATTACCAATAATACCGCATATGTACACAAATGAAACAATGCATTGTACAAATGAGATGCTTTTTACATGGGTGTAGTTGGCGGATTCTACATAACTATTTCTAGTTATAATAGTCTTCTAGAATAGTGCAACACTAGCAGTGTCACGTGTGATAATGACAGCCTAAAACCATTCAATATTCCAATACTAAAGCTAAACTAAGCTTACCTAACGGCTAATCTAATCTAATGTAACAATAATAAAGACTTAACAATGTGGTATAACCATGACCTCACTCTTTAACGTGTCTATTTAAACCAAGAACTAATCTTTGTCAAAAAACTACACACATTTCTAATGCAAAGTGGCATTTCCAAGGCAATGATTACAAGTGAACATGTAATGCATGTTTTTGCTAGAACAATATCAAGATGGTTGTGTTTACCATTTTCGAGCGTTGTTGTTCATCATCACTAGTATTTTTATTGCATATATTGTATTAATACAATAGTATTATCACGTGATAAAATGTGTGAATTTTTCAATTTGTTATATGACAAATTTGCTATAGTATTTGCATATATGGCGATTTTATCACTGATAATGATAAATTTTCACTGATTAAAGGCATTGGAATATTAGAAACAAATAAATTATGTTTTAAAATTTCATTGATGTGCTTATTAAACCAATTATAAAATTAAATGGCCTCATTTGATACCCTTTAAGCAAATATTATATTTTAAGAAAATTGTTGAACTTATTTTTAGAGTGCATGAGTTTATATTTTTATTCTTTATTTTTAATTAATACTCTTTTAATTAATATAGTTACTTGATGAAAAAAAATATTAATTAATAGCGAGGGATACAAATCTAAACTCATACATTTTAAAGAGTATTTGTCTCTTTCTTCCTATTATTTTTGCTATGTCGTTGATGATATTTTTCACACCAAAAAAAAAAAAAAGGATAGGTACTTCCAATATTTTCACGAGGAAAAAGGGATTTTGATTGTGAAACTCAAACTCTTCTAAAACTTTATTGTTACTTTATTTGATTCCCTAAATGACAATAAAGATTTATTTTTTATGGTAAGAATCCGATTTATTCAATTCAAATTCTATATTAGTGAACGTATCATTAATAATTTATAAATTAATTACAAAAATTCTCTCTCAATTATACTCCTTGTAACACTTTGCTCAATGATCTTTAATACGTAATAATTGTTTTTCCTAAATAATAAAACGTTAACAAAATTACCTCATCCGTTAAGAAATCTAACAATTTTTACACGTGTCGCATTAATAATAGCCTTTGTTAAACAATTTTGAGCACAATTACTATTGTACCCACACACCCTAATTATTTATTCTAAAAAAATAAATCTTCGTCGCTCCTTAATGAGTCAGTAAATCTCCCACCTCACAATTATAATTCCTTTTTTTTTTAAAGTTTCTTATTTTTCATTTACTTATTTCTAACTTAAAAAAATATTCAAAAAAACTTACATTCAATTAAATGTCAATTTCTATTAAAAAGTATGTTTATTCTACCAAAACAAGTTAAAGTTTCTTATTTTTCATTTACTTATTTCTAACTTAAAAAAATATTCAAAAAAACTTACATTTAATTAAATGTCAATTTCTATTAAAAAGTATGTTTATTCTACCAAAACAAGATTCATAAAATCTTTAACTTTCATTTAGTTAATAATAAATGTCAATTTTCATTTAAAAAATATGTTTATCCTACCAAAAAAAATCATAAAATTTTTAACTTCATTTATTTAATAATGGATGGTTCACAATTAAAAATTTAAATTAGTGTTAAATTCAAATTAAATTTTAAATCATACAGTTATTAAAAAAAAGCTCAAAATAACCAATTAAATATCCATTTCTGTTAAAAAACTAATGGAAAGAGCTTTTTTTTTTTAAATATTTTATTGTTCAGGAGAATGAATGTTACATCTTAAAAATAGGGATAAAGTGTATTTATAAGGGGTATAATTCAAGAAGAATTTTTGTAATGAATCCATAAATTTTCATACGTAATATTGAAGGAACAATTAGTAAGTACAATAAAACACGTAATAAATAATGTATTCTACAGGCAAGCAGCCCATGTGATGCAACAATTTACTATTTTGGAATAGTAGGGGTTATTTACCAAATTTGAAGTATCCTCTCATTAAATATCTACTACATTAAGATGGGTCATATACAAATATTTAGTTGAAAATCAAATATTCAGAAGCTTAAAAGTGAATATTATCCCATGCATCCGTTATCATTTGTAATATTTTGTTTACTTTCTTCTCTTAAGGTTGCGATGTTCATTTTAGTGACCTCAAAGGGATGCTTTTAGTTGATTATGATAAGGTCAAATGGAGGCAATAATTACAAATAATAATTAGGTACTTTACAGGTAATAATATAATTGATATCCGATTTTAATGGAGCCACCTATCACCACTCTAACACGTATGCATTGTGATAATTCTTCTTTTTATCTACAATTATATGTAAAGGGGACTGGGGATCCACAATGACAACTAAATTCTTGAATGAACACCGTTTTCTTACCAAAAAAAAAAAAAGAAAGAAAAAGAAGAAAGAAAGAAGAAGAAGAAATTGTTGGATGATCAACATTATAATTGTATTATACTCGAACCATATGGTAATCCTAGTAAAGAAAATTATGAAAACCCAACCATTCAATATTGTAGAATATAAAAAAATTGCAAAAAACGACTGAACTGGCAAGTGTAATTGACAAATAGGGTTAATATTTTGACATATCACGTACATGGTTGATTTTTTGAATTTGATATTTTAGGTTAACAAATATAGAACCATTTGCTGAATTCTTTTCTGAGGTAGTGGAGATTTTTAAGGCATTAATAACACCTTTTAATGTATTTTTTTTTCCTATGTGCTTAATTTAAGTCATTTTTTAGGAATTTAAAATTGTATTGTTGCCTATAACTTCCTCAAACTTGTGCAAGATGAGTTCTTTATTCAGAAAAAAAAGACGGGTTCTTTATGACTCGCGTATTTTCATTACATCCTAATTTTTGGACAGTAGTGACGACATTTATAGTATAATATCGATATTAATTCAATAATTAATACTTTTAGCCGGTTCTGACTTAAAAAAAATCATTCATTAATATATCTCGATTAATTAATAAAGTTCCATGGTCGTAAGAAAATTAATTTATAGAGGTTTTTATTGTATTATATAATAACATGTAGCTTTCTTGTTCAATTGACATTTATATATCTTTGTTTCTTACATGGTATTGTGTATTTATCATTTATTATGGCAGCTTTTATATTTGTTTTTTTTTTTTTTTTTTTGTTGGGGTGTGGGGTGGTGTTTTGTTTCATTTTAAATTTTGAAGTATTTTACCTCAAGTATGTTTAGCTTATGTAGCTTTAATAATGATGATAGTGACATTATTATTATTTTAATGATACGACTTTGTTTGCATGTACAATGATAAAGCGATATTATCGTTAAATTATAAGTATATTTGTATTTTTTTTTGTTATTTGTACATATTGTCGTATAATAATTTCTTTTAATTTCACCCCATATACGATGGCCCAACCATATATACTTATCTGTCCAGCTTCGAAGTTGTGCAAAAGTAGTTCTTTTAATTTAGACTTTATCATGAATGCCCTTCAGAAATGTCAGGGATGAAGCAAGACTTCGAGAAGCAGCTCAGATTCCACGTGTGTATATATATATATATAATGTATATACACGTATTTGCATATATTACATAAGATGCATTCTTTTGTTTGAACTTACGCCTCATCAATTGAAAAGTTGACATATACAGGCACTTTATATACCTTGCAGCAACATATATATATATATATATATGTGTGTGTGTGTGTGTGTGTATATGTGTGTATATTTATATATATAAACGTACACCTATATATATATTATCAAATGCAATTTTTTGTTTGAATTTATACCTCATTGATGAAAGTTGACATATATATAATATATTTAACACCGGATAAAGTTTGGGACTACTATATACAACCTTGGGGATACATGACAAGAGAAAAACTAACGAACTTATGAGGGTGCTCCGGTAATTGTGATACAACATCAAGATTTAAGAGAAGTCTATACATATAAAGGCTAGACTTCTCTTGATGTTGGTGATTTCTATTCACTAATACATTACCCCACTAATCATTTAGTTATGGGTAATCTGTCCTTTTGAAGAAGAACCAAATCCTAATCGAAAAGCTATTAATCAGACAAAATCCTCCTTTGCTCTACCAGCGCCACTACCAGAGAGACTGCTAATTTCAATCCATTTCAAGGTGTGTATACATACACACACACACACATATATATATATATATATATATCGTTTCATATGTATACACACATACACACACTTATCAACATACATACACACACATATATATATTGTAGTGTTTTCAAAATTAAGCTAATTATATGTACACATGTATATAAAAATAAAGAGATCATCTATACATATATAGTGAGATCAATATCATCATGTGGAGGCTAAAGGTGTCAGAAGAAGGAAAAGAAGAAGCATGCTGCTGCAAGGTGAAAAGCTTCAATAATCACATTGGAAGGCAATATTGGGAGTTTGACCCAAATTATGGGACTCCCCAACACAAGGCTCTAGTTGAAAAAGCTCGCCTTCACTTTCACCAAAATCGTTTTCACGCAAAACATAGTTCCGATCTCTTGATGAGGCTTCAGGTGATCAGTACAATAATGCATATGATCAGTACTAAGTATCCTGCATGAATAATTTGTACTATATATATACATATATACATATTAACCAAAATATATTTATTGTTTTTCTTTTCTTTTTTGTACATGCATGCAAGAGTATATACTAGACGACGTTGCTCACAAAATATAATATGTATGCTATATATATATATATATATATATAGTTTGCAAGGGATAATGATCATGGTGATGAAGAGATTAATGGTGGTTATTGCGAGGCGAAGAAGATTGATGATAAGATGAACGTGATCAAAAGCGAAGAAGAAACCATAAGTACTAGTCAGGAAGAAGTGGAAACCACATTGAGAAGAGCTTTGAGATTTTACTCAACTTTACAGACTCATCATGGCTTTTGGCCTGCCGACTATGGCGGTCCTTTGTTTCTCCTCCCTGGCCTGGTAATATATACATATATACACACACACACACTTAACAATATATATACATACATAGATGCATACATACATATATACGCGCACGAATATATTGTTACTTTTTACCCCCTACGTTTCTCTTTTTAATTCACTGCTGATATATGTATATATTTTAATTTGAAAGGATTTCACTACTGATTTTGCAATTCATTTACACACATACATACGCAAGTTGGTTATAGATCGCATTTGTAGTCGCTGTGGCGATATAATATATAAATACGTACATATAATTATATATGTTACGTATTGGAAATTAACATCTCGGTCAACTATTGTAAATAAACATGCTCTTGCTTCGAATATTGTCGACGTCATTTTCTGTTTACTTTATATGATCAATAAGTGTAGTATGATTTTGATCTTACGTACGTATTCCCGTCAAAATAAAATACTGAAAAACGTACGTGCAGATGTACGCGTACTCTATAGTAAATCATGAATTTCCGTGGCACTGATTGCATCCAATTATTATAATTCACACGCATCCAGCTTGTAATTCTCTGCTCTCGTGAAAAAAAATAAAAAAAAAATTAGTACTACTATGTACATGCTGTAAATATGATTATTAGTTGAAAATGTGGAATATTTATTCAAAAGGGATATATAGGAAAAAGAATAATAAAGCACCGAATGTAATGGGAAACAAGAGACATATAAAAAATATTCTGCCTATACGTACGTACGAAGGGATTTTATTATATTTATTTATGTGATGCTATTGTGGTAGGTTATTGGGCTATATGTGACGGCAGCCCTAAACGGCATCTTAACAAAAGAGCATCGGCACGAGGCCTGTCGCTACCTTTACAACCATCAGGTATATATTATTAATTATACAAAAATGATATTCGATTTTTTTATTTCTTTTTTTCCTTTTTATCTTGAGTGAAAAGACATTCACTAAGAATATTTAATCACTCCCAAAGCAACCTGAAATTTGGTTACTTAGAGCCAAAAAATGACCAACCTGTTACAAGAACATAATCATCAAAGATGAAATTTTAGATTTAAAGAATATTATGTCTCATTCATTCAGTTCACAAATTTAAATTAAAATATGATTTTATATAAAAAAATTTTACAATAATAAAAAAATTTAAATGTGACTTTTTATAAAAAATTTTAATTATAATAAAATTAAAATTGGTACAACAAACGACGCCTTAATAAGTTCTAACAAGATCGTGACAAAGGCAAGTTGGTCTTGGTCACCGGAAGTGACGCAGGAGAGAAGCTTCCCTTACACTGGCGGTGGCCTTAAGAACCAGCGATACGGTGGCCGGTAGCCAAAACTGACACGGCGGCGTAGTCGTGACTCGCCATCGTGCGGCTGGCGACCCACCTTATGCTGTGGTCTCGCCGTGGTAAAGAGCGGCTAATTCTCAACTTACTTATAAGTAAACATAAAAGCAACATTTTCCTGAACTCGAAGCTAAACCAGGGATCTAAGAGAGAGAGAGAGAACAAGATGAAGAAGAGGAAAAGAAGGCTCTAAACGCTGAATTTTCTGTAAACTTTTTGATAGTAGAATTGCTTGTTCGATTTGGGTACCGGGTGCGGGTGAGATTATTGTAGATTAAAAATTTATGGGAAAAAAGGGAAAAGACAAAAAAAAAAAAAAAAAAGAAACAAAAACAAAAGAGGAAAAGTACATTAGTTGGCAGGAAGTGGGTCCCACTCACACGGAAAGTCTTCTTTCCAAAGTAAATAGAGCTGCCACATAGTTTGCGGAGTTATTGAAAGCCGGAGCCGTATAACAACACTCTTATAATAATATAGACATATTTAAGTATAATAATATTAATTAGTGCGACTTATAAATTATTTACACTAAATGGCCAATCCACATGAAGTAATTAGTACTTCTTTAAGTGATATTTTAATTCGGTGATCTGGTTTGACGTATCATATCCATTTTTATTTATTTATTTTAGATCTCATGTAATGGAATATCTACATCAGCAGAAAATATATAATAGACAGGTAGATAGAGTCATTTCATCTACCTTGCAATCACTGTATTAAATATTACAAAATCAATTGTTCGACCATATGTGTGTGCGCGCGCGCGCTGATATATGTGGCATTTACGTACCTATGATACAATAAAAACAAAACGTAGTTAATTTTATGTTCAATTATAATTAAACACCGTTTGGACCTCCAAAAAAAAAAAGAAAAAAAAAAGAGAAACTAGCTAGTATCATATAACTATTTAAAACTTATTATATTAATCATTATTAGATCTGATTTTACGTCTAGTGTTCCAGATGATGTTAAAATACTGTCTGAGACATGGCTTAATTAATTAAGATCCGAGTTAATTACGTGCAGTTACTAAACAGAATAAAGTGCATAAAATAAAAGAACACACAATATGATATCGCATTTCGGTGTGCACACCTACATCTGTGGGACCACGCCCATACAGTAAATAGTTCACTATCTTTCAAAAATTACAGACACCGGACTGACTTATTCACTCGAGGACTCCTCCTAGACAATGACGCCGTTGTGATAAATCTCCACATTGATTGTTTAGCGTGCACCACACGTCTTCTATTCACCCGGCAAACTCCATTGGACTTGCAGAACTTCCTCCCGAAACCAACAAATCCCTCTCCCGAAGGGCGATATCAAAAACTCACAGATGTCTCGCTAAATATTTTCTCTATAATAAGCTCTCAAATTCACAGACTTTTACTCTAGAGATGTTCTAAAATCCGTATCAACATATGCTCTCTGAAAAAAAAAACCTTTAAATAAAGTCAAGAGAACCTCATTCAAATCTACTCTTGATAAGATCTCTATTATTTCCATGATTCGCTCTCCTAAATAGCTTCAACTCTCAATCTTCAATTCGAATTATACAACAAACTTTTAAATCTGAATTAGTTATCCTCTTGATCTTCGAATGCCTTATCTTTCATTATAGCAAGTCATATTTAGATTTCCCTTGATCAAGTCAAATTTAAAGTTCCAATCACACATGTGCACTTAATCTTCTTTGTGTAGCTTTATATATATATATATTCCTAACAATAATTGGATGAAGCTAAGAATTTGAATCCAAAAATAAGTTAATCTCCATACTAACTTTATCTCCCATTTAAATTCAAATTCATATCTCTTTATCTTTCACGTTTATAGTATTTCCAAATCTAGATAATCATCAGTTCAAATTCTCCACATAATATTTTTTATCTTTATCTCTTTCTAGAATCTCAACTAATATCTTATTTGCAACTTTAACTTCAAATCTAATTCTGAATATTCTTCTACAATACGAAATCTTTTAGAACCTTTTTTTTTTGAATTTTTATAAAATTACTAATAAATTATCAACTAATAAAAATACCTAAGAATTTCAACTCATCTGGAACACTTAAAATCAAATCTAACAATCATAATTCTATTATCATGAACAGAATGAAGATGGTGGATGGGGATTACACATAGAAGGGGAAAGCACGATGTTCTGCAGTGGGCTGTGCTACGTGGCACTCAGATTGCTTGGAGAACCAATGGACGGTGGTGACGGCGCCATGCACAAAGCCAGATCTTGGATCCTTCACCATGGTGGGGTCAGCTTCATTCCTTCGTGGGGAAAGATCTGGCTTTCGGTAATTAATTAATTAATATATACTTTGTGTATGTATGTTATCTTGTGTGTGTATGTTATATATCCATTTTTCAGAAGCTAATGATGGTACGTATATAACGTCCTATAATTGTTAATAACAAATCAACAATATTAATTAGATATAGGAAAACTTAGTTTAATAGCGCGCTTAATGAATGAAGTGAGATATAATTAACTGCAGGTACTTGGTGTATATGAATGGAGTGGGAACAATCCTTTACCTCCAGAAATATGGCTTCTTCCATACTTTATCCCTGTGCACCCTGGTAATAATTATTTGTTCATCATCATCATCGATTATATCTATATTATACAACATAATACACACATATGCATATTATATCTTTATATATATATATATATATATATATATACTTATAAAGAAGAGAGAGAGAGAGTCATGGTTGTAGTCCTTCATATATAAGAATCAACCAGTTAACAGACTTAAGAACAAAAGGAGAAAATTGAATTAATTGTTGTAAAATGTATATATCGTTATTAAGGCCTTTAATTTAATTACGTGTGCTAATCTACATTATATATATATATATATATATATGCGCACGCGTGGATGTGCAGGACGAATGTGGTGTCACAGTAGAATGGTGTATCTGCCGATGTCATATTTATATGGGAAGAGATTTGTGGGTCCTATTAATTCGACAATTTTGTCCCTTAGGAAGGAGCTTTATACCCTTCCTTATCATCACATTAATTGGGACCAAACTCGAAATCTATGTCACAAGGTATATTCTTAAACAAAGTATTCTAGCTTTGTCTATTAATAAATCTCTCGTTACCTGTCTTCAGATAACTACATCGAATAATATTGCAATCACTAATGGCTTTTGCTGACGATAGTTACAATAATTACTATAATAAATATGGATTTTCTTATTGTTTATCTCCTCAGCTTATTATACAATAATTTGTTGCTATCATATACATATTTATATTATATATGATGATTTGGAGGGGACAGAAAATGTGTTTCTTTTTCTTTTAATTTATGATGATAAGGTACAATACAAACTTATGTTTGTAGTATTATTTGTTCTGGTGTAATATACGCAAAGTCAACAATGATATTGCAGAAGGACTTGTACTATCCACGTCCAATGATACAAGACATAGTATGGGGTTGTCTTCACAACATGGGGGAACCTATTTTGAAGAGATGGCCTTTCTCTAAGCTAAGGCAAAGGGCTCTAAATACTGTAATGCAGCAAATCCACTATGAGGACCACAACACTAACTATCTTTGTCTTGCACCTCTCAACAAGGTCGTCTAGTCTATATTTTCGTTCTCATTGCATTCTTGATATAGTAGGAGAATTTTGTGATTGAATATATACATACATATATAAAAGAAACTTAATTATGAGAGTCTTAACTGATTTACATCATGAGTAGAACTCTAAATTTAGGCATGACTAAACAAATCGGTCAGCCCAAAGCTGCCTTTTTGGCCGGACTAGATTGGATTGAGAATCTATACTCGACAGTCTATTAATGATCCCTTTTCAAAAAGAAAGACATGTTTTGATTAAAACCACCTTATAAAATGTTCACGTCAGCCCGATCTTCTCCTCACTTACTACTCTCCTTTCCGGTTGGGCCGGCCGGATCAATTTTACCATTTGGGCTGCCGGACTGAGGTCAGATGGCTCGAATTTGCAGCTCTGGGCATGAGAGGGAATCGTTCCTATCTACTTGAGCAAGATTCATCATCTTCCCACGCAGAGTTAGGGCCCCAAGGAGTCAAATGTATTACAAGAACATGAATATTATTATTAATCAATATAAACTAAATAATAACCACAGTTTTTTCCTGCTAAGAAACTAACAACATAATTGCATCAATAGGTACTGAACATGATATGTTGTTGGGTGGAGAATCCAAATTCATATGCATATAAGTGTCACCTCTCCAGAATCAAAGATTACCTATGGCTTGCTGAAGATGGACTGAAAATGCAGGTATATATATATATATATGTATGTATTGATATTGTAATTTTGCTTCTCTTATTTATTTGTAACGGATGCTGAATATAGACGTACATACATGTATATGTGTATGTAATGCAGGGATACAACGGGTCTCAATTGTGGGATGTTGCTTTCGCTGTAAAAGCAATGGTTGCAACAAACCTTGTCGATGAATGCAGTTCAATGCTTAAGAAAGCTCATTATTTCATCAAAAACACCCAAGTAATTAATTATATACATACATACATACATACATACATACGTATAGATACATGTATAGACTCTTATACTATGTATGATATCCCTGCCATGCAGTTCAATATTGCTTAAGAATGGTAATTATAACTATTAATAATAATAATTTCCCATGCATTTGATAAATTTTTTTGGCTGATCAAAACGTACGTATGCAATTAATTAATTTGGTTGAACAAATTAAAATGTATTATGTATTATATGAAGATTAGGAGAAACAGTTGGGGAAACATAAGCGAGTGGTACCGCCATATATCGAAGGGAGGATGGACCTTCTCTACTCCAGACAATGGCTGGCCTGCCTCCGATTGTACTGCCGAAGCTTTAGAGGTTTCATATTATCTTCCAATTATTTTGGTTTAATTTACTCCAATCTTCATTATATAGACACACCAAAAAATTAAGTATACTCCAATTATAATAAGAAGTAATGATAATTAATGGCGTTTAACACCATTATCCAATTGAGTAGATAAATTCATTGTAAGAATCACCTCTCCAAATTAATTAGGAGGGATCACTTGATCCCTTCTCTCATGAAATTAATAATGCTTGAGTACCAAGTAATACTAAACTCATTTTACTAATCCCTTACTCTGATAATCTTTTCTGTAGTTTTTCCTCCTACAAACAAGTTCTAATTAATTTTAAATGTTAAAACTAAGAGTGTTTTTAAGCATAATTAATAATCAATAAGCTATAGTTTTGGTTAATGGGCGTACATGGTGGATGAATATATAGGCAGCACTTTTACTATCGCGATTGTCTTCCGAGATTGTTGGAGAAGCCATTCCATTTGATCAACTAAAGGATGCTGTCCATCTAATTTTGTCTCTTCAGGTACTAATCTCATCACTCATGAATTACGTCGACTTTGATATATATATATATATATATATAATGGAGGATTTGCAACCTATGAGCTCACAAGATCTTATGCTTGGTTGGAGGTACACATATATACATATACATACATATATATATATATATATATATATATATATGTGCATCCATTATCATCACACAAACATAAAGTTATCTTCTATATATTTCATTTGTTCAAGTGTCATTGAGACTTTTCTTCTCTTAACCATATTTTCCACTCTTTTCATTTGCCACAGATGATCAATCCAGCTGAAAACTTCGGAGACATCATGATCGATTACCAGTAAGATCACCAGAACATCTTCATCTTATTATCTTAAAATATGCGAAACTATACATATATATGATCTAGTAGACATATGCACCTTTTTTAAAAGTTTTAAAAATTATAAAACTCCAAGTGTGCTCTGTATCAATATATAACAAAATTGTACTTAATGTACAGTATCTCTCTTTATTAATAAATCAAATCTACTAGACCCTTGTTTAATAAAAAAAAAATGATATCTTACCAGCTGGTGATTACATATTTTGTTTTCCCTGTGAATATATATATATATATATATATATAGGTATGTGGAATGTACATCATCAGCAATCCAAGGCCTCAAATTATTCAAGAAGCTCTATCCAGGGCATCGCACCAAAGAAATAGAAGCATGTCTCACTAAAGCACTTCGATTCATTCACTCAATACAACTGGCAGATGGATCATGGTTAATCTCTTTCTTTTTATTTTTATTTTTTATTTTTTACTATCTTTTATATTTCATTACCAGTCTAATTACCATAAGGTGGAAAGCAAACCATGGTTCCTTCCCTCTTAATCTTTCATAGTTTAGGAAGAAAAGTTTTACATCTGATTTGATGCCTGGTACGTATACTTTACTCAAAAATACAATATTTATAGGTACGGGTCTTGGGGAGTCTGCTACACCTACGGGACGTGGTTCGGAATAAAAGGGCTGGTCGCCGGCGGCGAGACCTACGAAACGAGTGATAGCATTAGAAAAGCATGTGATTTCTTGCTATCCAAACAGCTTGATTCTGGTGGTTGGGGAGAGAGCCATCTTTCATGCCAAAACAAGGTCTTTTTCACATTATTCATTACGTTGGTGAGCATGCATACTTGACAAATCAAGCATTACTAACATTATATATACATATTTATGGTTTGTTTTTCTAGGTATACACTAATCTGGAGGGTAACAAACCACATTTAGTTAACACTGGATGGGCCATGTTAGCACTTATTGAAGCTGGCCAGGTAATGTGGTGGTTGTTATTTATTTATTATTATTTTTTGTTGTTCTTTTGTTTTTTGCATTTTATCGAGTAAAATATGACACTTTGCCTAGTACTTAATGAGCATATAATACAACAATTACCAAATAGGCCCAAAGAGATCCAACACCATTGCATCGAGCAGCAAAATTGCTGATCAACTCACAAATGGAAAATGGTGATTTTCCACAGCAGGTAATTAAACGATGGGGATATTATTACATATCATCTCTTCATATTTCTATTTCTTGAGGCAGACAAATGGGAATCTGTCTTCTAATTTCTTCTTCATTATTTTGGACTACAAAAATAAAAAACAAACAGGAAATCATGGGAGTCTTCAACAGGAACTGCATGATCAGTTATTCACAATACAGAAATATTTTCCCCACTTGGGCGCTTGGAGAATATCTCACCCGAGTTTTGAAGCTTCCTCAATTGAACAACACCAATGTGTAGAAAAGTTTCTTTATTTTCCTTTGTAAAATAATGTATTATCAGTAAAAACACATGTCCCCCACTGATATTTTGAAATTTTATATGTAAAAAGCTTCATCAAGTCAAAAGTATAAAAAAATAAATACACGATTAACAATAATAGAAACTTCATTTTTATAATGGTTCTCGATTCAATTAAAAAAATTTTCTTTTGCATTGTTCATATTGAGCCCCAGTAAATAAAATAAAATAAAAAGCTCTGCCACCGGCCAACATCCGGGCAACGCCAAGACTAAAATCATCTTGTACCAAATAAATCACTACTACAACAGCTAATATTAGTATCCAATAGGCAAATGTGCATTCTAGGACAAAATTTTGATATACATTATCACAAACACACGGCAAATTCCCTCAAAATTGTGAATTGCTAAGGAAAGTTACCATGCATCTCGTACTCTGGAACAATTTATCTACCTTTTGCCAAACTTCACATTGAATGTCTAAGAGCTTTCTTGCCTTATCCTGTAATCCCGGTTGGCATCGAAATGTTTCCCCATGGATCTGCCCCGAAAGAAGAATATGAACACAGTTAGATACAACTTCAATTTTCATACAAGACGAACAGTAAAACACAAATCTAGAACTATGAACGAATGAATCATCTCAACTTCAGTAGTTCTAACTCATAATTATTTCCAAGTCACTTTTTGAACACGTCAGACCGATATTTTTCTGTCGAATCCTGCTGCCCTGGTATGTGTAAAGGCTTTGGCCCTTTTATCAAACTAATTTAATTGAAAGAGGAAATATACCTTCAGAAACAACCTGATGACAGCTTGCACAAACTCAAAATTATTCCTGCAGGAGATCTCATGTACAAAATAATCCAGAAGCAGTTCAATTGAAACTAGTTCTGGTCTTTTTACAGGTTCTTGTTCGTCATCATCGTCTATGATCTGAAGCATCCGAAGTTCCATATCCAACGTTGATGGAGATAAACCTTTGATATACTCAGTAAATGCCGAAACTGCAATACATAAGGATATGCAAAGTAAAGAGACCAGAAAAACAGAAATCCTCTAAAGCTGACAACTTATTAGTGCCATATTATTAGCCAAACTATAACAAAGATTTGAAAAACTATATACTTACAATTATTCATCTCCGCAGAGGAATGAAGAAATAGCAAAAACTGGGACGAAGCTGCGTCAATGGGATTTCTCCCATCCACTTGTTCTTTCTTCACCTCCTCGTTGGCTGACTCACTGGGTTTGAACATAATTTCCCCAGAAACAGATGGAACTGAAGGCAAAAAGAATGGAGCCTTTTCAGGTTTCTTTGGTGGTTCAATTGGTTTATTCCTGACCTGGAAGTTGGAGAACAAGACAAAGAAACAAACACATTTTTAACTGGTAAATCACTGGCCAAATCCACAGGTGAAGATAAGCAAAACATGTAACGAGCCACAGGAAACACCTTTATAATGTCTAAATTGATCAAGCTCTGCCACTGACTTCTTGGCAATAAAGAGAGAGTAACTAGATCCGGGATTTGCTGATCGAGAACCTTGAAATCAACAGAGCCTTTAGATTGTAGGTTCTTCTCCTTAGGCTCATCGGCATCCTCGGCTTGAGGACCTCTCGTTGAAGAGACCGATGGTAGCTTGATGCTCACAACTTCCTTTCCACTAGCATAGGAATCAACATTTGAAGCTCCGGAGAACATTGATTGATTTACCCTGACAAAATTTCTCAATAAATAAATGCCTATTTCATGAAAAGAAAATGTACCGCTGCATGATAAAAACTGTCCCAAAACATAATCAACATTATTGCCCTCTGAAACATTGTCCTTTCCTTATATAATATTTCTCTCTAGGCCAAGTTATTAAATATGCAGATAGTTTTTCATCTTTGCTTTCTCTTGAAATTCCAGTTTAAAGTACTCTTGAGACAGACTTTAGACTTACCACAGGTAGACTCCATTTTGATCAACGTGGGTAGTTGCTAAAATATCCATATTAGGTGACAGAGCCAACGCAGTAATTGACACATCAACGCGTATAGCATCTATTTGTCTAGCTAAAATAACATCCCAAATTCGAAGAGTTCCATCCATACTGGAGGACAAAAGCCATTTCCCATCCTCGCTGAAGCACATGTCGGTAACACGATCCGTGTGACCTTTGAACTTACGAACCATTCTTAATGCCACAACATCAAATAAGCGGATGACTAAATCATCAGCCACAGTAGCCAAAAGACCTAAAAGTTTAGTTTGATTGAGTTACAGTGTGCCGGATAAACGTGAATCAACAACCAGCTGTACCATAAGATTTTCCAGAAACAAAAGGAAATACAACTTACAATTTAGTCGGTTAAAAACAATCTTAACAACAGAGCAGCCGACATCCCATCTGGATTTTAGTTCACGCGCCTTGAAATCCCAAACCTGCCCATCAATGAGAATTAGAACCTCCAAGCTGAACGTGATATTTGCGATAATTATGTTAAACACCCATCCAAAGGCAGAGATAGTCAAGCAGATATAATCACAGTACCAATCAAACATTTGCTTTTATTCACCTTTATATCTCCTTGATATCCGGCACTTATCATTAGAGTGTTTGTTGAATCACAAGAAATGCCAACCACTTCCCCTTCATGGGCACAGCTTCTTCTCTCTGAAGTGTCCTGGTAACTGCCTCGGCTCATTCCTGACTGAAGGTTAAAACGCTCAATCCAACCACCAGCTGTTCCCAGTATGGCAAAATTGCCACATGCACTGATGGTACATGCCTGTCACAAGAAAATTGCGCTAATTTTTTTAACAAAAACATTCGAGCTTTTTAAAATCTCCAGATTACCATTACAAGAAATAATTTTTTCTACAAGGTAACATTTTCCGAGACATTCAAAACTTGGTGGTGACAAAAACTACTATATTCTTGTACATAACAAAGCATTATAAATCAAATGCAATCCAAAAGAAGAAACACTTCATTACAATGTCATTGTCTGATTCTTATCAAATGAAAACAAACCAAAAAGGGGGAAAAAAAAAAGTTTCCCGCCCAGTGTAAATAGATCAAAATTCTAATCTTAACAGGAATTGTAAATAGATCAAAATTCTAACCTTAACAGGAGTTGGATTTTCTGCGCTAGGCTTTAGAATATGCTCACCAAGAACAAAGTTTTGAAGTCTCCACACATATGCCTGTGGAGTATCCATGTGACAGGTAACCACATTGCACCAATCCCGCTCTCTAATTTCAGCTATATTATTTTCATCAGAGAGAAAAAAATGAAACGATTAATTATATGGACAGAAGTGCCACAAAATAAGTTTCTGACAAGAAGAGGTATTGACTAAAGGGTTTTTCTTTTTGCTGGTTGAGGTGAACGTGGGAGGGGGCAAAGTTAAACGAATATAAAATATGAGGCCTTACCACAATCAAAGGCAATAACAGGCTTCAATTTTATCTCTTCTTCCTGAAAAAACAAGTAAAACATATATGTAGTAGCTAATCCAGGGGCCTTCTGAAAAGGGAAAACATTAAATGGAAATTTGCTGCCATTACCGCCACTCATACCTTCATCCTCAGTTTCTTGGCTCGTTTTGAGATGTGGCGTTGAGAAAGTTCTCTGCTTTGTTGATCCTAATTCATCAATCAAATCTAAATCAATCCCAATATCACAAACATACATGAGATACAATTTAGGCAAATACACGGAATATTAATAAAATATTATGTGGATGCTTGATGCCAAACCTGGACAACGGAGAAAAGCCGAAAGGCGCGATCCTGACCAGCAGATAAAATGTGCCTCCCATTGGAATAGAACCTATGAAAAATAATGATAACTTTTAAAAGACCTACCAAAAGATGTAAGATCAAATCTATACTCAAACAATAATCTTCTTAGCACAAGATGTTAGAAATAATTTCTCCTCTAGAATTATGAGCAATGCAGTTGTGTGTGAAAATGGAAAATGACCAGAGAACGTGTTGAAAAAATGTCATTACCTTATGCACTGTGGAGGAGCACTATGGCCGCTCTGAAAACGTAAAAGACGTGGATCTCCATCACTTGTGTCAAAAATCCACATCTGGAGCAAAAAGTTTAATAGAAAATATCAGTTTATAAATTGTATTGTAACAAGAAAATGAATTCAATCTAAACATCATATAGTTTAGCATCGCAGTTTGTAAAATATTCAAAACTAAGTCTAACCAGGTCAGTCCAACACTTGAAATAGCAAATGAATTTGTACAATATATTGATTGAAGACACTGAGCCACTGATGGTAGTCTTACTTTAATCGAATTGTCTGATGATGAACTCATTAGCACGGGCTCATTGGCAAGGAAGTGGAGGGAAAGTATCAATCCATCATGAGCATCTCTTATAACAGATTGAAGCCTCCGTTTCTCAAGATTCCATATGCTTATGACACCAGATGAACCACCAGATGCTAGAAGAGGCTGTCCATCTAAACATAAGATTAAGATAAACAAACTTACTTCATCAGCATAAGAAATAATAAGAAAAACAAATGAACACATAATAACATGAAGTTATGAACCACCCCTGTTGTAAGGAAAAGTCAAACTATCACTTGATTCGTTTTCAGTATTTATGAAAAATCAAAAGGGCCTTACGAAGGACTTGTTACCTGTGCTGAAAGACAATGCAGTCACGGCACCACGGGTGGAATGAGTAAACGTAACTAACTCTTCATCGTAACGAATATTATGAATGTGAATAGTTCCATCTGTACAACCAACTGCGACAACATCCAGTGCGGGAGACGAAACACAACTCGCGATGGAAGATTTCCATCCCTTGAACTCGTAGAGTTTTTTCTTTGTGCTAATGTTCCAAAGTTGTAAGGAACCTTCCGAACCTTCCTGACTCCCAATAAGAACCTGTTCACAGAATTGGATCATAAGTTGGTCTTAAACTGGAAAAACATTCAACTAAACAACACATTAACTCTCATTAAGAACAAAAAGTTACCTTGTTTAGGTAGGTATCAGGATGCATCATACAGCTAGGAGTAAAGTTATCATCTAGCATGATATGTCCAATCGGAGCAAGATTCTGGTCTATTTCCTTGAATGTCCATATGAAAAGATTGCGTTTGTCATCAACACTCAGAATATGATCTCCAAATAAAAGCAACGAACTGATCTTTGCACTATGCCTACTCCAAGTTGCTACCTGTAAGAATACCATATTCGGTATGAAAAATCCAGTTCATCTACCAAACGCTTCTGAGAACCACAGAGACACAGGAATAAGGAATCGGGAGACAACCTGATGAGCACGCTTAACAACAGCTATCTCGTTTCCATATGCGGCGAATGTAAAATCCCGAAAGGAAGCAAGAGCTCTAATTTTCTTTGGAAGTTGTGGACCTTCAGAGACAAATATTTCATATAAAGATCCAAGTTTTTTGCGATAATAAAATTGCAACAACCATTGCTATACACCTCTAACACACTCATTTAACTCCTATTTTTACGAATTGGACCATTTTCAGCAGG